ACAAGTTCATCTTCAAATTCGAAAGGTTGGAGCGACAAATTTTCGTAAGGTGACTCCAGGAGATGAAGGGTTTGTTTAAAAGGTTCCGCTCTTGGTTCTCCGCTATTTGCAGCCGTAAAAGTGGTGGCAGATGTGTTTTCCTTCGTTAAAACATTCAAACCGATAGAAATTCGTTGATACGATGTTGGTTTCGTCAATTCATTAGATAAGAAATTTTTGCTGTTCAATTTACGTCCAGTAGTCCCTGGCATTTGATAGTTATTAATCTGTATGAATCTTGGAGATTTGTTGGAGTTTACGTTTATGAACATAGGAGCCATTTGAAAACCTAGCGAATCATTCATTCGCGGGAAAATGTTGCCCGTTGCGTCGTTTCTTCCTCGGAAATACACGTTGGGCCTCTCGATTATTTTGGTTGGAGCAAACGCATCGAGTACAGTCAGCTTTAGGGACACTTTGGTAGATTCTGTATCAATGTCAGGATAATTTGGAACTTCCGTAATAATGAAAGGCTCGTTTACATCACTGTTATTTTGAACCTGTTGGGCCTCGTCGATTTTCTCTACAGTATCTTTGGAATTCACGTGAAGTTTTACAAATTCTTTTGAATCTTTAACTTGATTCATTTTCTGTGCGGGAATCACCTGTGGCTCATATGATCCTCTGAAGTTTGAAGCGTTTCCTATCCCATGAATTTTCTCAAGGACCGGCATATTCAAGTCCCGTAACTCTGAAGTCTCTCGCGTGTTGTGCCTTTTTAGTATGGAAATGCTGGCGTTGTTTGGGGACATGGGAGTCGTGGGACTTGGTATGACAGGTCCGTAGGGATTAATTTGCTCCCAATTTGACCCCAAGTAGGGAGTGCTACTGGGGATTCGAGTCAAGGGATACGTAATTGCTTTGTGTTGAGAATGCGGAAAAGGCCCTTGGGACTCACGCATTGTTGATTTTCGCCAGTTTTGTCCATTTTTGCTTACGTCTGCGTCTACTTTCAGCGGTTGTTCATCATTGGTCATCACAGTTTGTCTGAAATAATTTTCTGTTACTTGTGATACAATGCGGCTTATGTCGACCACTTCATCTCTTTGATGGCTTACGCTGAAACTAAGTAGGAAAAATACGGAAACAACTGCTGTTTTTCTGGGGCAAAACATTTTTATAAATAAAATTGAAGTTAAAAAATTCGAGGCAGTAATTTGATGTTTATTATAATCGCTTATATACGTCCGAAATTATTTACTGTGGAATTGCTTTATCGCACAATATATGGATTTTGATTCAACAGTAAAATCTCGTCATTTAATGCAAAAAAATTCACATTGCAAAACGGGATTGAAAGTCATTTTTGATGCGAACATTATTGAATCAAATCAAATGGCATTCTTAAGTTGTGGGCAGATACCACGACGAATAACCAATTTGTTGTCTCTTCAGGTATATATGTTTGCGGGTCATTCGAAAATAAGAATGGCTCCTGTGCAATGGCTTCTTGGTTTAATTTCCTCTGCACAGTTTTTTCTCCGTCGCAGGCATAACGTTCACTTATGTTTATTATTTTGTTTCTGATTGCTTCCCTAGTAATAAAACAGACCTTCAATAATTAGATGTTTCTAATTAAAGATCGATGAAACTTTGATGAAAATAAACCATTTTTCAGCATTCACTCAGTTTTTTTCAGTGTATTACCACTGAACCAACACAACAATTTGAGAATTTTCTAACGGCTGTGAGCACCAAGCATTTCAGACTATAACGCTTCTCAGTAACGTCACTCTGACACGGTCACACTGCAAATATGGTTACAGCTAACTCCAGTGCGGGGGTGACTACAATGTTCCAGTGACTGCGAATGTCACGGCACAGTTAACAGTGATTGCACTGTTCCCGTCACGACATGACTGTACCTGAACTTTACCGCGCGTGCCGCTGGAGGTTTTAGGTCATTAATTATATTTGCCGCTCTAGATTTAAGCAGGAACTTCATACATCTATAAGACGCTCGTATAATTCAAGTAGATGGCAATTTCAGAAAAAGAGTCACGAATGAAAGTAATCTTCATGCAGAAGGCATCAAGATTATTATAATGGATTACAGTTTTTTTATTCTATTATTTCAATCGTCATGCGGTCACCATACTGACGATTTTATTTGCTGCAAGTTCAAACATTTAACGCCATTCATTTATTCAGATCCTGATACTTTAGATTACCAATGAGGCAATTAGAGCGCAAGTGAATTAAATCAAACTTAAACGGTGCACTACTCGGTTGCGTGAAACAATTAGGCTTGAAAATATATAATGAGGAAGCAACGTAAGTCAAAACTCATCGAGCGTCATGAATTTGACCCACTATTTCTCGACGTTGCAACTCAAGCGTGCCGACCTCCACGCACGAAGCTCACGCGTAGTGCGCGCGCCGTTACGAGTGAATCACGCACATCTGACGAATATGTGATATGAGATACATCTTTCGTGATTCGTGATACGCAACATATCAGTCGGGACATGTGACAAATCATTCGTGGTTCGTGGCATATCATTCGTGCTTCGTGATACGCAACATGATATTCATGGTATGTGAGACATTATTCATGAAACGTGCCATATATATCGTGATATGTGTTATTCCATTCGTGATTCGTGACAATCCATTCGTCATTCGTGATTCGCGACAATCCATTCGTGATTCGTGACAATCCATCCGTGATTCGCGGCATTCCATTCGTGATTGGTGACATTCCATTCGTGATTGGTGACATTCCATTCGTGATTCGCGGCATTCCATTCGTGATTCGCGATATTCCATTCGTGATTCGCGACACTCCATTCGTGATTTGCGACATTTTATTCATGATGCGTGGCATTTTATTAAACATGATGAGTGCCATATCATCATTTGTTATTCGTGACCTACCATTCGTCACATTTTAAAGCGCAAAAATATGAATAGGATAGCGTAAATTAAGGTGCTTCCCTCTTTGTTGACAATCGCATGTATGTTTCATTGAATAAAATAAGGTATTTTTGACAGCGTTTAAATTCTAAATAGATGACATCAACAGGGATAATTGAAATTATCATAACTAAGAGGTATATGCAATCACTGATAATAACTGGTATACCTGCAATAATTGACAGTAACTGGTATATCTGCAATCGTTGGCAAGTTTACCTGCAATCCTTGACAGTAACTTGTACACCTGCAATCATTGACAGTAACAGGTACACCTGCAATCCTTGACAGTAACTTGTACACCTGCAATCATTGACAGTAACAGGTACACCTGCAATCATTGACAGTAACTTAATTGTACACCTGCAATCATTGACAGTAACAGGTACACCTGCAATCATTGACAGTAACTTGTACACCTGCAATCCTTGACAGTAACAGGTACACCTGCAATCATTGACAGTAACTTGTACACCTGCAATCCTTGACAGTAACAGGTACACCTGCAATCAGTGTCATGAGCAGGCGACTGTACCGCAGCTGCTAACCTCCTGGATAGACACGGCCTCCTGCAGTCGCAGCTGCAGACCGCGAGGGTGGATTGCTTGTATCTCTGCAGGGCGTCTCCGGCCACCGGATCTGCTGATCTGCCAGATCAATTGATTTCACGGCGACGTTTGACGGAGACTTGAGGGATCTCAGAGCGAGTCAGTGCACCTGATGGGGCCAGGCCATGCGTGGCCCCATGACACACATCGTACTCACTGAATGAGTCGTGGCCCCATGACACACTCCGTACTCACTGAATGTGTCGTGGCCCCATGACACACTCCGTACTCACTGAATGTGTCGAGGGGCCAAACATCAATATATCAGTTTATTTATTTCATAAGCATTCCGTTTTTTTTTTCTACTTGTAATGCTTTGTTTTTTTCAACTCAATAATAAATCTTTCTTTACCTGACTAATCTTATAATACTATTAATTTACTTAATAATAATCTGTGTTTATTCGCTCATGTGCTCTCGGTGCCGCTGTTGTGAAAAAATAACTTTCCATGCCTGACTTATATTATAATAATTTGATTTGATATTAATAAAAATATCAGTTTATACGTATCAGTCTCCCCTCATGCGCCCTCGGTGCCTCTGTTATGAAAAAATATCTTTCTATGCCTGACTTACATCGTAATAATATTATTTTATCTAATAAAAATATTTTTTTATTTGTATCAGCCTCCCCCCCACGCGCCCGCCCGTGTGCCCGCCAGGAGGCCACAATTACGCAGCAAATTAACACGTCTCAGGCGCCGTCATCAGCGCCTCATCCGTACACGTCAGACCTGGCCTCCGACGCTGCTGGGGGGCCAGCCCTCACCCCCTTAACTGTCCTCACCCCATCACTGCCCCTCACCCCATCACTGCCCCTCACCCCATCACTGCCCCTCACCCCATCACTGCCTCTCACCCTAAAGTAGCTCGGAATTTGGTTCATGCCAAAGTAGCTCGGAATTTGGTTCATGCCAAAGTAACTCGAGAGACGCCGCGCTTTATGCTTCTCATCTTGATTTATTGTTCCATCGAAATGCATTAGTTATTCGAGGGAAAATTCCCAGTCATGATGACGGTCCCGGTTAGGTCATGCATTGTATTTTCTGTAACACATTCATTTTATGAAATTTGCAGCTAGGGTGAGTCTTGAGTTATGGATTTATATTTTCAATAAATTAATTCTTCTACTTAATGTAGTGAATGATATTATTTGATGTGCGGTGTGCCTATGTAAACGCCTCATTAGCAAACATGAACCTATCCGTCCAAAGCAGTGGGATTATTCCTTTCAAATGATTTTCTAATATTTCTAATACATTGTTCATTAATTAAGTGCCATTTAATTGTGCGCAATATTAGCTGTGGCTTAAAGTTGTCGCGCCTACGACGATAAATTGAGCTTCTGTTACTGACCTTGTGTTACTGACCTTGTGTTACTGACCTTGTGTTACTGACCTTGTGTTACTGACCTTGTGTTACTTTCCGCCAGTCAGAGGAGCTTCCGCCTCATGAGGACAATGTCTGCACCATCTAGTATGAACGAGGTGAGGCCGTGGAGTCCAACACAGGTCAGCGTCTCGCAGCGAGTTTCTGACCTCGAGGACACCCTCGCCTCCTCAGCCTCCCTTGATGGCTCGCAGAACTCTGATGGGTAAGCAAGCTTACTTATCTGTCGGGAAAGATATTTGCGAACCCCGAGCCTAGCCTATGGTTCTTCTTTTTTTTTAATTCAACAACTTAATTTTTATGTTTACAGTCTTATATGGAGTCTAACTTGTCTAAGGCTGGCGGGTAAAATTGCTCGTCTTGTTAACTTGTTAATTTCCACGTAATGTTTATGCTACGCAGGCCCGAGGTGCTGGGGCTGACCGCTGAATTTGACAGGATTATATCACAGATGGAGGAGCTGCGTGCGATTTTGGACGTGGGGGTCGCAGAGTCTGCCGCCGGCTTCATTTAATTAATTTATTTGGAATTTGGCCATGCGCCGATTATTCCCACATCCCTACTTCTATATTTATCAGGCTTTGATGCTTGTAATGTACGACTAAATTTGCTTGATATTTTCACGTTTTAACATTTGTATATTTCTTGTACAAAATATAGGGTCAAATAAAGGAATACTTTGATACTTAGTTCGATTGTTCCCTTTGATATTTTTATGATCCATTTTTGGGATGTTCATAATAAGGTGCTAAATTGGTTAAGGTCTGGAATAAGCGGATTTTTACTTGAATAATGTTATAACTTATATATACCCCGAGCGTTACTTTGTTCATTACTGTGAGTATACTCTTAAAATGAATAAAATGCATCTAGATATCGATTCATCGGATTCAGCTACAATAATGTACATGAAATAATTTAGATTACCATTAGTCTCAACAGCATAGAACATTATGATGTTAAGAACTGCTACAAACGACGCGACTTCCTCATACGATAACGTATACCGAAAGAGACCCCTGTAGTGATAGGAATTTAATTTATCAAGAGGAAGCGCTCCCATTCAAGTCCCGTAAATCTGAAGCCTCTCGCGTGTTGTGCCTTTTTAGTATGGAAATGCTGGCGTTGTTTGGGGACATGGGAGTGGTGGGAATTGGTATGTCAGGTCCGTAGGGATTAATTTGCTCATAATTTTACCCCAAGTAGGGAGTGCTACTGGGGATTCGAGTCAAGGGATACGTAATTGCTTTGTGTTGAGAATGCGGGAAATGCCCTTGGGGTTCACGCGTTGTTGATTTTCGCCAGTTTTGTCCATTTTTGCTTACGTCTGCGTCTACTTTCCACGTTGTACATCATTGTTCATCACAGTTTGTGTGAAATAATTTTCTGCTTCTTGTGATACAATGTGGCATATGGCGACCACTACATTTATTTGATGACTTACGCTGGAACTAAATAGGAGAAAAAACGGAAACAACTGCTGTTTTTCTGTGGGAAAGCATTTTTGTAAATAAAAATGAAGTTAAAAATTCGAGGCAGTAATTTGATGTCTATTATGATCAGATATACATCCGAAATTATTTATTGTGCAATTGCTTTATCGCACAACAGATGGATTTTGATTCAACAGTAAAACCTCGTCATTTAATGCAAAAAAAATCACATTACAAAACGGGCTTGAAAGTCATTTTTAATGCGAACATTATTGAATCAAATTAATGGCATTCATAAGTTGTCGGCAGAATGACCAATTTGTTGTCTCTTCAGGTGTGTGTTTGCGGGTCATTCGAAAATAAAATTGGTTCCTGTGCAATGGCTTCTTGTTTTAATTTCCTCTGCACAGTTTTTTCTCAGTCGCAGGCATAACGTTCACTTTTGTTTATAACTTTGTTTTTGATTGCTTCCCTAGTAATAAAACAGATCTTCACTAATTTGATGTTTCTAATTAAAGATCGATGAAACTTTGATGAAAATACACCATTCTTCAGCATGCACTCAGTTTTCCAGTTTATTACCACTGAACCAACACAACGATTTGAGATTTTACTAACGGCTGTAAGCACCAAGCATTTCAGATACGTGAGTATAACGCTTCTCAGTAACGTCACTCTGACACGGTCACACTGCAAATATGGTTACAGCTAACACCAGTGCAGGGGTGACTACAATGTTCCAGTGACTGCGAATGTCGCGGCACAATTAACAGTGATTGCACATGCAGCTCCCGTCACGACATGACTGTACCTGAACTTTACCGCGGGTGCCGCTGGAGGTTTTAGGTCATTAATTATATTTGCCGCTCTAGATTTAAGCACAAGGTTCACACATCTATAAGACGCTGGGATAATTCAAGTAGATGGCAATTTCAGAAATGGAGTCGAAATGAAAGTAATCTTCATCTTCATGCAGAAGGCATCAAGATTATTATACTGGATTACTAATATTTTATTATATAACTTCATTCGCCACGCGGCCACAATACTGACGATTTTATTTGCTGCAAGTTCAAACATTTTAACGCCATTTATTTATTCAGATCCTGATACTATAGATTACCAATGAAGCAATATGAGCGCAAGTGGGTTAACTCAAACGTGAACGGTGCACTACGCAATTGCGTGAAAAAAATTAGGTCTGAAAATATATAATGAGGAAGCAGCGTAAGTCAAAACTCATCGAGCGTCACGCATTGACCCACAATTTCTCGACGTTGCAGCTCAAACATGCCGAACTCCACGCACGCCGTTATGTGTGAATCACGCACATCTGACGAATACGTGATATGTGATACATCATTCGTGATTAGTGATACGCAACATATCACTCGGGTGATGTGAAAAATCATTCGTGGTACGTGGCATATCATTCGTGCTTCGTGATACGCAACATGGTATTCATGGTAGGTGAGATATTATTCATGAAACGTGCCATTTATATATCGTGATATGTGACATTCCGTTCGTGATTCGCGACACTCCATTCGAGATTCGCGACATTCCATTCGTGATTCGCTACTATCCATTCGTGATTCGCGACATTCCATTTGTGATACGTGACATTTTGTTCGTGATGCGTGGCACATTATCATACGTGATAATGTGCCACATCTTTCTTTATTCGTGATCTACCATTCGTCACATTTGAAGCGTAAAAATGTAAAAACGATAGTGGTGCTTCCCTCTTGGTCGAGAATCGCATGCATGTTGCTTTGAATAAAGAAACATGCATGCGAACATAACAATAACTGGTATACTTGAAATTATCATAACTAACAGTTATATCAGCTATCATTCACATAGTAGCAGGTACACCTGCAATCAGTTACATGAGCAGGCGACTGTACCGCAGCTGCTAACCTCCTGGATAGACACGGCCTCCTGCAGTCGCAGCTGCAGACCACGAGGGTGGATCGCTTGTATCTCTGCAGGGCGTCTCCGGCCACCGGATCTCCTGATCTGCCAGATCAATTGATTTCACGGCGACGTTTGACGGAGACTTGAGGGGTCCCAAGGCGAGTCAGTGCACCTGATGGGGCCAGGCCATGTGTGGCCCCATGACACCCTCCGTACTCTCTGAATGTGCCGTGGCCCCATGACACACTCCGTACTCTCTGAATGTGCCGTGGCCCCATGACACACCACTCCGTACTCACTGAATGCTGTCTCTTATACACATCTAGATGTGTATAAGAGACAGCTGCACATTCAGTGAGAACGGAGTGTGTCATGGGGCCACTGCACATTCAGTGAGTACGGAGGGTGTCATGGGGCCCCATGACACACTCCGTACTCACTGAATGTGTCGTGGCCCCATCACCTGTCTCTTATACACATCTAGATGTGTATAAGAGACAGACTCCGTACTCACTGAATGTGTCGTGGCCCCATGACACACTCCGTTCTCACTGAATGTGCAGTGGCCCCATGACACACTCCGTTCTCACTGAATGTGCCGTGGCCCCATGACACACTCCGTTCTCACTGAATAGTATGTCGTGGAGCCAAACATCAATATATCTTTCTTATTTCTATCACATGTCTTCCCGCTATTTTTCTACTCTTGGTAATGCTTTGTTTTTTTTCAATTAAAAAATAAATCTTTCTTTTAATAATTAAAAAAAATAAATCTTTTTTAATCTTACAATACTATTATTTTATTTAATAATAATCTGTGTTTATTCAGTCTCCCCTTATGCGCCTTCGCTGCCGCTGTAGTGAAAAAACATATCTTCTTATGCCAGACTTACATTAAAATAATTCAATCTTATTCAATAATAATATCAGTTTATATGTATCAGTCTCCCCCCACGCGCCGCCCGTGTGCCCGCCAGGAGGCCACAATTGCGCGGCAAATTAACACGTCTCAGGCGCCGTCATCAGCGCCTCATCCGTACACGTCAGACCTGGCCTCCGACGCTGCTGGGGGGCCGGGCCTCACCCCCTTAACTGTCCTCACTCCATCACTCCCCTCACCCTCTACACCCCATCACTGCTGCTCTCCTCCTTTCTACACCCCATCACTGCTGCTCTCCTCCTTCCTACACCCCATCACTGCTGCTCTCCTCCTTCCTACACCCCATCACTGCTGCTCTCCTCCTTCCTACACCCCATCACTGTCGCTCTCCTTCTTCCTACACCCCATCACTGCCGCTCTCCTCCTTCCTACACCCCCATCTCTGTCGCCTAACCCCCTCCACATCTTTTTGATCGGTTTCTCAGTACAAGTTCTCTTATTAAATTATATAAATAATAGTTACGGTATTCAATATGAGGTGTATGGTTTTGATCTTAATCTCGGAGTAACGAAGCTTGGTATCTTTTCGTAACGAAAGAAACTGTCACCTGAGAACATTGGAACATATCTCTTCAAAATAACATTTAAAACAACAATTTGACAGGACAGAAAAGGACAAAATCTTGGGTATGGTAAGATAGAACAACAATAGTAGTTTATTGAGTGCCCTCAGGGCTAGTCCGTGGTCACTCTCGGGAGGTCTACTCATCGATTTAGAAAGACTCAAATGAAGACCATTCGTAATTTGCATAATGGCTTGTAATTGCTCGTGAAATTAAGACTAAATAAATTATGGTTGACAAATGAACGAGCTGTAGAAGCTTCCAACGCTCGCCGAATCTACTATAAGTTGGACAAATGAAAATAGCACCTTATACATGTATTTTTAAATTTCTTTTGCCCTGCTTTATATCACGTAATTCGAAAGATAAATCACGATTTTCACTTTTTTCAAGATTGGTGATTTTTAAGTTTGTTTTAAAATTGAATAATTTGTTTTTGTTTGATAATATTTATTTTGTCTATACATTCTTAGCCTGCATTAATTTTCATGCCATTCAGGACTGGAAATAACAAGTCAGCCAGATACATTAACACTTTTGTGTATCCTAAAAACAACGGCCTATAATTTCTTGTAATGATCAATTTCAGTAAACTAATTGGAAATTTAAATTATGCTCATCGTATAATTTAGGAGCTATTTTTTCAATTACTCAGCATTGTTTAATATAGCACGATAGTAAGTTATATTTTTATCAGAACGACATCGTTGTATTCCTAAGGCTATATATCATGCTCCTAAACTAGGAATACTAATCAAGAATCATTAATTCATGCTCGGAATGATGTGTTATAGGTCCTCATCCTGAAGCGCCATAATCAGACAGCCTTGCATGTATTAATTAAGTCAATAATCAATACACAAATGACAACCCGTAAGCCTGTAACTCTTCCATGTAACAGTTTGTCGCCGCCCTGCATGACACCGTTAGGGCTTTAAATAACCTTAAAAATTTAAAAAAACTTGTGCGAGTTTTTACAACAGGAACTTAACAAAGACATTATTAGTCTATTAATTTTAAATATCATAAAACACGTACAAATTTACAGGAAACTTATCTATACCAAATAACTACCATAAACATTCTTGGCACATTTATTGATATCAAATAAAGTTCAAAAGAATTAATTTTCCTCTAACGAACGGATTTATATTGACTTATGAATTTCATGGAGAAGTTTATGGTAATTGAGTTACTTGTAGAGAATCTTTAATGCTTGTAATCAGCTACCAGCGTAGGCTTTTTCATCATTCATCCTTAGAAACAATGAGTAGTTTTGATACTATTAATTTTTTGTAGGAAGTAAATTGATTAATATTGAGAAAATCAGAGTAGGTACCGTAGAGTTTTCATGAGAATTGTCGCTTTGGTCGTTTTTTCGCAGTGCTGTAGTTTGGGATTTTTCTTGTCTAAATGTTCCGCAAGTAAAATTTAAAGCTATGAATCAATTAATTAATATATATTAGTTTATTCGGTGCAGTATTATTTCTAGCTTTGATTTTGCTTTTAATTTTTCAGAGATTTACCTACCACCTGCAAAAATATTCTAAAAGAGCTTTGGAATTATTGTGATATGAAAATACCAAAAATCATCGTTTCATTGTATCATAAAAAATTTTTACCAATGAATTAATGCCAATGATATTATGCATTGGACTTCTTACCGTGTATCATTTTTGGATCCATTAACCCGATCGCTGGCTCAAAAAAGCAAATGCGAGTAAACCAATGTAGTGCATATATATAAATGTCAGTCAATGAGGCCAGAAGTATTCTTGGCAGGAATATTAGCAATAATACTGTACTAAAATTATATTACAATATATAATTACTGTAACAATGTTATTAGAGTAATAGAAATGATAATATAGTTATAGTTACAGTAATAGTAAAGTTATTACAGAAATTTCATTACTCTAATGAAGTTATATTGCAGTATTACTGTAACAAAGTTATTCAA